CCAGCATGGATATGGATGGATACTCCTGAGTTAACCTTCCCAGCATGGATGCAGTTAACCTTGGTTTAACCCTTTCATTGTGGATATGGATACTCCATGGGTTAATCTTGCCAGCATGGATATGGATGGATACTCCTGGGTTAACCCTTCCAGTATGGATAAGGATACTCCTGGGTTAACCCTCACAGCATAGAGATGGTTACTCCTGGACTCCTGTCTCTGAAGGAGGTTTCCCTGCAGTCCCTGCCAGCACTGGGAAGCTGGATATTGGTGCAAGCAGGAGTTCCTGAGCACAAGGGCACCCTGTCTGAGAACCATCTAGCACTGCCCAGCTCCTCCCACCACAGGATTACACCTTTCCAGAGCCTGGTGACCCAGGACCACTCTAAGCACATTCCCCTCTCCCTGGCAGCTTCAGCAACCAGCTGTGCCAGCTGCCTGCATCCGCCTGCCGCGGTGCAGAGGAAGGTCGGTGGAGCCCCGCACCACAGGTCTCTGCCCAAATTGCTCTTCTCACTGCAGGCTGGGCCTGGAGCCACGTCTTCCTCTCCCCTCTCTCTGGAGGGCTGGAGGCCAGCCCTTGGCTCCAGGCTGGAGCTGCTGCGTGCTCAGCATTCCTGCTCAGCGCTGGAGCAAGGCAAGTACACACAGCCCAGGGCTCCGAGCCTTGCGCCGGGACAGCCCCGCGTGCTGAGCACAGTGGGAGCCCGGCCATCGTCCCCGTGAGCAGCCAAGGTGCCTCTGCTCCACAGAGCATGCCACCATCCCTGCTGCCACCTTGGGGCATCCCAGCGCGGGGCTTCTCATCCTGCAAGGATGCGCGTTTTTGGGGAACACAACCCGGGACAAAGCTAAGGGAGCCAGGGCGGCGCTGATGCAGCATGAGCAATGTGAGCTGCCGCTCCAGCTGACTCACCGGAGCCCTGGCCACGCTGGGGAACTGGCCGGCAGCGTGGAAGGGCTGTGCCAGCAGGTCCTCTGAGCTCTGCTGGAAAACCTTTCCCGACGCGCCCGGGGCCAGCTCACGGCGGCAGCAGGCTGAGGCACAGCCCTGACCCAGCCCGTCCCTTTCCATGGGGCAGAGTTGCCTGTCCCAGCACTGTGCCTGCCCGCAGGGCCTGGAGAAGGGAGGACAGGACACCCCCAGAGCGGCCACAAACCTGCTTGGTGTTGGCCAGCACTGGGTGGTGGTCAGCTCTCCCAGACTCTGGCCAGCGAGCAGGAACACGAGTCAGGGCTTTGCAGCAAAGCCAGGACATCCAGACTGGGACTGCATCAGGTTCAGCCCCAGCATGGGCCGAGGAGGGCAGGGAACTGCAGAACGGTGCTAGTCCAGATTCTCTGGCTGTCAGCCAGCTGTCTCCTCTCCTAACTCCCTCCTCCACCCTCGGGAGGTGGCAGGGAGCATCTCCAACCCCTGCCCCTGCTCAGCCTGGGGGGGCTGAACATCCCTTGGGGCCACTCCACCTCCTGCAACCAGGCAGCCGTGCCCACCTCAGCACAGCAGGAACCATCTCAGGCACACGCCCCAGGGATCACTCCAAAAGTATTCATGATTCACAATATTCCTACTGTCTCTTGGGACTGTCCAACACTGAGCAAAAAGGCTGAGGTCATGGGCAAGCCCAGAAACCAGCCCAGCTGAGCACATGTAGCCAGTGGCAGGGAGGGTGGCATGGCTGGACCAGTGGCAGGGAGGGTGGCATGGCTGGACCACAGCACAGCTCAGGCATCAGCAGCCTGAGGATTCAACGTCGCACCAGGTGAAGCAAAGCTCAGCCCATCCAGTCGGTTGTGCTACAAATATATTGCCCCAAAGCTGGTGCCATAGGAGGTGCAAGAGCAAAAGGCCATTTGGAGCATGAGGTGCTTTGGCAGGGCTGAGTCTGCAAATTTGGCAGAGCTGTATGCAAATGCATGTGAATATGGTCCTCCCCGAGCAGAGCAGCAGAACCCACACACACACCCAGATCCGCCCCACTGCACCCAAGAGCAGAGAGTGAATCCATCTGGGAACAGCCAGTGGGCAACCACGTTGATCTCCCAGAGCGTGAAAGTGCTCCCTGCAGTGAGCACCAGCCTTCAGCACAGCTCCCTCCCTTCCAAAGAAAACAACAGAGAAAACGCTGGGATGGGGATTAAGGAAATGAAACCGGCTTCACAGGGTAAGCAAGGATAGGAAGTGCTGTAATATCTCCTCTCCCCGCTGGCCTGCAGCTCTCCCAGCCCAGAGCCCACAGCACAGCACAGATCAACCCAAGGGGAAATCACGTGCTGGAGAGTGCCTTGAATAACCGGGAGGTTTCTGAGGGATCCCTGCTCCCAGGATGGGAACAGACACCCCTGCTCCCAGGCTGCCACCATGCTCTCTCCATCCCTGTGGAAGAGAAGATGCAGGGAGACCTCCTGACACCACAAGCCACACTCTGCTCCTGAGGCTGGCACCATGGGATGGCATCTCAGGAGCTTTGCTCTCATAGAATCATGGAATCATTGGGGTTGGAAAAGACCTCTAAGATCATTGAGTCCAACCATTAACCCAGCACTGCCAAGCCTGCAACTAAACCATGTCCCCTCATGCCACATCCATGTGTTTTTCTGCCACTTCCCTGGTCATCCTGCACCTCTTCTGCCTGTCTTGAGCTGCTGGTCCAAAGTAGTCCCCAGTGTGAAGGGCGTCCCTGGAGGAAAGCAGATGCAGCCAAACAGGTAGACCAGGGATAAAACCAGCTGCTAAAAACCCCCAGTGGGGCAGGGGTAGGAGAGCGGGGGGGGGGACACGCTGATAACAAGGATCCTGCCACATCCTGCCACATTACCCGAGTGATGCCCCCCTGAGCAAGGACCCATCCTGGCTCTCCCTCGTGTCTCTAGCACACGTGTGGATGCCACCAGCCCCAGGCTGTGGCTCCATCCAGTCTCTCCTGTATCTGTCACGTGTCCCGGCGCGCTGGGGCCAGCTCTGTTTACATGTGCGAGTCTCACATTCTCCTGCTGGGGATGAGTCAGGCTTCCCTCGACACCCCGCTGAGGTGGCGGTGTCAGGGCCCCAGCTGGCGTTCGTCGCCTCCCACACGGCACAAGCGGGTGGATGCCAGGCTGGGGAATGGCTGGAAAGGGCTCGCACAGCTCTCTCTGCCTGCTTTGCATCCCGCTCGGAGCCATCTGCAGCGGCAGGGAAGGCGCTGGAGGCTGCAGCTCGCTGCCAGGAAGCTCTCCCTGGCTCGGCTCCACCGGGTCAGCTTCCTTCCCCTCCACCCCACAGGCACGTCATGGCTCAGTGTGTGGGGGGGGTCAAGCCCTGAGCAAGCCCCCAGCCCCCTCCCGAGGGTCCAGCTTGGGTGGGATGGCCAGGGTACTGCTGAGAAACCCCCATGTCTGCAAAGCCTTGGGGTGCTGGGGTGTCTCCTGGGGTGCCAGGCCCTCCCCTGGATTTGGGACCCCCAGGGACAGAGGCTGGAGCTCGGAGGAGAAGCCACCAGCCCTCTTCCTGTCTGTGCATGGCCCGGAGATGCTGAGCTGGACTTGCAGGGGGGTGAGATGGGTGCCAGCTGCACGCCACTGCCCAGCCTGTGCACAGCGGTTTCCCCAGTGGGAAACCAGCAGTCTGTCCTCACCAGAGGGTCCCCAGCTGAGCTGGGGTGAGATCAGCATCCCAGGAGGCAACAGACACCCCCAAGCACATCCAGCTCCCCCTGCCCTTCCACTGCTCCCAGCCCTTGCTTTCCGCTCCTCTTTCCCACGTATCCCAGAGTCAGAAGAGCTGTCTCTCTCCACAGAGAGGCCTTTCCCCTTTGCTTCCAGCTTTCCCAGGGTGTGAAAAAAGCCTCGAGGCTCCTCTTTGGATCCCCCCACCTGCATCCCACTCGCTGTGACTGGGGCTGGGCTGGCTCCCTGCGAGCACAATAACCAGAAGTGTCCCGGAGCCGCTGGGAAGGAGCGATGTTCCCGGATGGTATGCAGCCCTGACAGCACTGGCTCTGCTTTAAAGGGTAACTTTATCCTGTAATAACAAACAAGAGCAGCCAAGTTCCTCCCCAGCGTCACTTCCCTGGCTCCGAGGAGAGGGACATGCGGGAGAGAGCACATCGGAATGAGCTTGGATCCTTGTTCTTGCCATCACAGGGGCTAATTCCGTTCCCTCGAGACAACAAGGGGGGAAAGATGCTCCAGGGGAGCAAGTCTGGTTCTGAACTGTGCATCGCAGCCATGTCACCCCACACCCCTGACAAAGGCAGGGACACAAACCGTGTGGCTAGAGGGGATGGGATAGGTACCTGCTGGTCTCCAGGGACATCCCAAATTCCCTGTGCCACTCACTGCATTTGAACAGACACATTTCTGTGCTGACATGCTGGGGACCGAAGGGATGACCCCTCTAGTGATTCCTGTCCTGCAGGCAGCAGCAGGAAGCCTGCCCCAGCCCATGGCATGCCCTGAACCCCATTGCCATTCCCACAGCCCCCCCCTGCACGGTCACAGCACCAGACAGGCACACTGGCATCTCGGCACAGTGCCAGCTTCAGGTGCAGCCACCCGGGAACTTGTTCTGGAAGAGCTGGAAATTCAGGCCCAGCTGGTGCCATGGGACGGGCAGGGAGAGGCTGACCTGCTCCAAACCCCCGGCAGGACCCTGCAGAGCAGGACCAAGGGATCACTCCGGGCACTGCTGGGGGCAAAGGCGTGGGTAGAGCCCAGCTGTGGGAGGAGGGACGAGCACCTCATCGTGACCCATGGGTGCACCCTCCTGTGCTCCCAAACAGGGTTTTTTGAAGATCCGTGTGCGTGGCTGTGCCAGGGCTCCAGGACACGGAGCAGACAAACCTCTGGTTTATTCTGGGGGTGCACACGGGGCACGTGGTGGTCACATCAACATCTGTGATATATTTGCAGGGGAGGTGGAGCATCCCTGCATCACCCCATCAGGCTCAGCAGCTGGGTAGATGGGACCAGCCAGGGGTCCCTTCTAACCTGACAGATTCTGTGATTCTGTGACCTACCTCTGCTCCTGCATGGACACTGATGCTCAGGAAAGGTGTCCCTTGGTGGTTGTCACCAGGGAGGGCACAGTCCAGCCTGTGCTGATGGCACACTGAGGTCCCCTCCCTGCCCAGAGAGAAGTTGGGGGGCAATTTGGCAGAGTTCAGCTGCGTGAGAAGATGACAGTCTGGAAGAGGCTGCTGAGATGTCTGTCTGATATCCACTTCCTCAAGGAGTGGCAGGTAGCACCTCTGGAGATCCCGGGGGGTTCAGTTAAACCCCAGCTCGTCAAACGAAGCCGGTGAAGTGCCGCCGTTTTCTTCCTCAAGAGGGATTTCCTCCAAACCGTTTATCAGGTGCTTGGGTGAAGTCTGTGCAAAGCTGGTAAAGCTGCTGCCTCCATGGTGCCTTCCCCCAGCAGAGCAGGGGGACTTCCAGAGGAAGCACAAGGCAGGATCCGACCAACTAAAAGGGGGAAGAGAGAGGAAGGAGGGAAGCATCGGCATCTAAATCTTTCAGGGCCTTAGAGGTGACAATGCCAGTGTCCATCCTTTGCAAGAGGGGTTGTGGGAGACCCGTGGGAGACAACGTGGCTTGGGGAAGATGAGCCATGGGGTGCTGCTGGTCCCCAAAAAAGTAAAGCCTGGAGCAAGTTCCCAGTTTCAAACCATCCTCCCAAGGCAGATGTGGAGCTTTCCTGGCTCTGGCTGATGGGAGAGCAGAGCATCAGGCCAGGCAGCAGCGGGTTAAAAGCTTGAGGTGGGACTTGGGAAGCTGCTTCCTCCCAGCTAACAATAACACAGGGAGGGAGAAGGGATGCACAGGGCTCTGCAGGGACTGATAGCCATGGAACAACCCCAGCCCTGCAGCTGCAGCCATGCCAGAGGAAGCCTCAGCACATTATCTGCTGGTCCCATTCGGCTTCCTCAGCAGCCCTGGTGCTGCAGGGACTGGGACGTTCTTCCTCCAGAGCCCCATTTCTCATGGACCCACGTTGGATCCCTGTACTTTGATGGCAGCCCTGGACCTCAGCACCCTCCCAGCACTTGCACTCCCAGACAATCCAGCCTTCCCAGCATTAGTATTTTCCACTGCTGATGGCTCTGGGAATGGCCACCTACGGCTCTGAGCCCCAGGACCACCGAACCACCCAGCACAGGAACGTCCCCATCCTGCTGCCCCGTCCCCCCACGCCACAGACGGTGCCCACACCTTGGCAGAAGCAAGTTTTGGCTGGAAGATGACTCCTGCCAAGGGGATCTCCAGGTCCTGGTGAAGGTCCCTGCAGTTCTGGTTGCCTCTGCTCCTGGTCCTTCCCTGGCCAGTGAAGATCTGCTGCACCTGGAGCTGCTGTGGCCGCCCGCCCTGGCCAGGCTGGGTGGTGTCCCAGCACTTCCTCGTGTGCTGGCTGTTTGTGACCTGCCTTCTGCCGGCTGCTCCACCTCCACAGCTGCACTGCTGTCACAGGAGCAGCCCTCTTCCGTTCCCCGTTTCCTTTTTTCGACCCTCTCCTCCTGTAGCAGGCTTTGCCTTTCACAGGGGCTCTGCCCGCTGCCGTTTCCCCCACTTGGGCATGGGAGGGTCCCTCGCAAAATGGGTCTTGCCCTGACCTTGGCAAGTCAGGTCAGGACTCTCCACGTCCTCACTGCTCCCATCCCAAACCACGCACCTGCCTGACTCCAATTCCTGGTGCAGTAAGTCTTTGCCAGTGGATAGTGGTCTGGAAGAAGGCAGCTGGTGGAAGACCCTGGGAATTACGGGTCTTTCCCACCACCGAGGCCAATCCCTGGAGCCTGGAGAGCTGCTGGGCTCCCAGAGCAGAGAGGTGTTTGCCCCCAGATGCTACTATGGCTCCAGAGGGGCTGGTGGAGGCCGTCTGAGCTGCTCTGGGTGACAACCTCCCCACCCACGTTCCCTGGAAGTCCCCAGACGTGTTCCCGTGCCCTTGTGCAGCCCCGGGAAGGGTCCCCAGGGGTTGTTCAGCTTCCCCTACTGCTGGACCCAACAGTCCCCTGTGGCAACACACCGGCCCAGTTGGCACCTGTGCTGCAGCTGCAGAATAGAGATGGACCAGCTGCTAAAAGCAGATGGATCCTAAATGACCCTTACTCTGTCCAAGCTTGCCTGTGCTCCATTTCAAGTGTCCCCTGGGGCACTGTGCTGCACCCAGTGAAAGGACACAGGGCTTTGTGTTGCCATCACGGTGGGCAGGGGGAACACAGAGGTCTGACACTGCCCAGAGCCAGGAAATAAGCCTGACACAAAGGGCAAAGCCAGCAAAAGGGAGGGAGAGGGGCAGGAAACATCCGACAGGAGAGGAAACGGGGAGATAACCACGAGCACAAACACGTGGAACTCGTGCAAAGGAAAAGCCGACACCACTTGGCAAGCACTGGAGCAGGGAGACCTGCCCATCTGGTCTCTCACTGGAGAGACATGGATCTACCAGCCCCCCCAGCTCAGCCACAACCCCACTGCCACAGCAGGTGGGCAACCATCCCGTGCCACCTGCTCTGCAGACCCTCAGCCAAGCTGATGGAGCTTGTCCCAGCCTTCAGCAGTCCTGCTTCTCCCCATGTTCCCAAGGGAGCAGTTACATCCGTCTCCTGGGGCTGGCAGTGATCACGGAGGGGGGGACAACTACAAGCTGTCAGCAAACCACAGTGGGGTCCCTGGCATAGCTCATCCCCCAGGATCCAGCACGTGGCATGGGACAGAAGGGGGAAACACGGAGAGAGACGGGCATGGAGCCAGCCCGTGGTGACTGGCTGGGCTCCAGCTGGCCTGTGTGGAGTAACTGGGGCAGGAGAATCTCTGCCAAGGGGCAGGGAGGGCACTCGGGGGAGGCTTGGCCGTGTTTCTGAGCCAGCACTGGGCTGAGCACAGCCACACAGAGGCAGGATCAGGCCCTTCACCCACGCTCCCGTCCCTCAGCCATTCCTCCCAAGGGATTTCCCTCCTCCTGCTGCCATCACAGCACTGATAGGGAGGTGCCCAGGTGGGCACTGACTCCTCTGGCCACGGATGCGAGCTGGGAAAGAGCAAAGACAGTGAGCATTTGCATGGGAAATAAGGTGGCTGGATCAGGTGGAAGAGCCCAGGTGGTTCAGAGCTCCCCTGAGGATGAAGCTGAGGCCAGTGTCTCCCTGCCAGGGAGCATCCATACAGCAGCTCCCCACAATGCTGCTGGCAGTGCTGTCTCCTGAGGGCCTTGGAAAGCACAGCATGGGCTTGGAAAAGGGCACGTCAGCCTGGGCCCAAGGAACACACTGCCAGGAGGGGCTGGCATTAGCCCCACACAGGGATGGGGCAGTGGAGCACCACCTCCAGAAGAGAAGTGGGACCTAGGTTGGATCCAGCTGTCCCAGCTCCTGCAAGGCAGACAGACTGCTAGGATCATAGGTTGGAAAAATGCCTCCAAGATCATCAAGTCCAACCATTAATGCCAGACTATTTTTCACAGGGGCCAGCTCCAGAGCAGAGACAGTCTCAGCGGGGACACTGCAGCTGGGAGAAGGTACTAATTGACTTTATTTATTAGCAAGGTGAAGGCAGGGATCACACTCTGTACACCCACCGAGTCCCAAGTAGGTTCCTTGCAGACCACAGAGCATCCCGGTGCTCCAGTGCACCCAGGGAGTGCCCTGGCACTGTGGGGTCCCTCACAGGGACAGAGAGCTGTCACCAGGGGATGGCTTTACCTTCCCAGTTGAGCAGAGCCCCGCTGTGCTTCTCGGAAAGGATTGGCAGCACAGACAGCAGCCCCCGCACGCTTGTGTCCACTGTCAGGTCAGCCTGCAACGGGCACAACGAGACACCACCGTCATTCCGGGCCATCCACCAGCACCCACTGGGCTCATGCACGTGGGCAGCAAGGCTCCTTCCACCCAGAGTGAGCAGAGAGCCACAGGAGGTGGGACAAGCCTGCTGTGTGGGAGGATGGTTGGGTATCTGCATGCTCACTGTCGGCTTGGGCTGGAAAGCCAGCTAGAGGTTTAACCAAAACAGACACAGAGGAGACCCCCGCTGCAAATGGGATGCTATGTGCAGGCTTCTCAAAACTCCAGTGCTGCAGGGACAACTCCCACTGCAAAACATGGATCCTGCAGGATGTGTGGAGGCCTCGTGGACCTGCAGCTCCTCGAGGAAGGGGGCACAGGGTGGAATGGTGCTGCTCCTCTCCTCCTTGCTCTGTCAGATTCAGTTTCTCTGCACAACTCTAGGCTGCCCAAAGCCCCTTTTCCCCCTGAAGAGGTTTCCTGCTCACCCTGGATACATGCTGTAGAAATATGCTATTTCCCAGGCAGCATCACATGTTCTGCATGTGTGGCCCACCACACATGTGGGCAACTTGGAGAACCAAGAGGCAGCTCGTTTTCACATGGATGCCTTCTCCCAAGAGCCACCTGAGCTACCTCCTGTGAAGTCTTGTAGGCTTAGGTCCCACCCATGGGTTCCCCTCTCGACCTGCTCAGCCAGAACCCACCTCCTGGGTGCCCATCTCCGTTTTCACCCATCCAGGGTGCAGTGCCACGCAGAGGATCCCGGCTTCCCCGTAGGTCAGAGCCTGGCACATGGTGAGCATGTTGAGGGCAGCCTGGGGGAGGAAGGAAGCATCAGCCACGGGCAGCAAAAAGCTCCATGAACCAGGTTCCCTCCCCTCTTGCTGAGGGAGAAAAAGCAACGCCAAGTCTTCAAGGGACATTGTGCGTCTCCCCTGGGTGGGCACGGAGATGCCACAGGAGCTTGGGCAATTCTAAGCACAGATCAGTCCCTCCGTCTCGCAGTCTCAGGTGCTTCCCTGAGATCAGGCCTGGCAAGGGGCAGCTCTGACTCCCAGCAAGCTCAGGAGCAGGGGAGGTTGCTCCATACCTTGCTGCAGCGGTAGGAGATGACGGGCGGAGAGAAGGAATCGGTCGTTTTCTTGATGGAGCCCATGACAGTGGAGATGTTGATGATGGCTGCCTTGCTGCAACTCAGGCCCTTTGCTTTGCTCTCCTGGGCAGCCTTCTTCAGCAGAGGCAGGAATGCCTGGGGAGAAGCAAACCTGTGGGACACCTGGGCCTCAAGCCAGCCCCACTTATGGCAACCACGACCCCAGGAAGGAAGAGAAAGATTGGTGGGGAGCCAGGAGAGCCCGGGTGTTTTGCTGCAGTGGCCCTGCCTGCTCCCAGTTAGCCCAGCACAGTGCAGGGGGGCTACAGAGGGCTTGGGCTGGGAGGGCAGCCCTACCACTGCCCCCTCCCTCCCACAGCCCGGGAAACTTGGCAAAGCCCTCCAAGATATCTGTTGTGACCACGGACAGCCCGGGATACCCTCAAGCTGGGCCAAATTCCGTGGTGAACCTCATCCCCAGAGCTTCACCCGTACCTGGGCCATCAGCATTGGCCCCACTGCATTGGTCTTGTAGGTCCTGACCATGTCCTCAGCATCGACCGTGTCCAGGGACGCCGTGGGGGTGTAGATGCCAGCGTTGTTTATGAGCAGGTTCAGGCCCAGGCCGTTCAGCTTCACCTCCACGATTTTCGCCGCCTCGGTGATAGCAGAGGGATTTGAGACATCTGCAGTGGGAGAGAGAGGAGTCTGAGAGCCGTGGGAGGGTCTGGGGGGAAGAGGGAGGTGAAGGTGCTGCCGAACAGCCGCACATCCCGACCCGCGCGGCTCTTCCATCCGTGAGCACCAGATGGTGCTGTGAAACCAGCTCTGAGCACCCCGGCACATCCCAGCTCATCCCAAAACCGCCTCCTCGGCCCCACCACCAGCAGCGGGAGGTCCTGCCCCGGGGCAGCCCACCGGGCAAAGCCCACCATGGGGGCAAAGCGCTGCTGTGACTCCCGTGCTGGGTCAGTTCCCAACAGGCACCATCTCCACGCCTGAGCAACTTGTGGAGAACCCAGGGCAGTCCTGGAGGGGACAGGTCCCCAAGGGAGCCGTGCTGGGACCTGCTGTGGGATAGGTCTGCAAGGTCCTACAGCTGCTGCTCAGGCTCTGGGCTGATCATGCAGCGTTTCCACAGGAGCTGCTTTTCTCCCAGAGCCCTCTTAGTCTCGGCTGGGACTTGGGATCAAGGCAGTTCAGCTGCGTGGCAGAGCAAGGATGTGGCCACTTGGCTGGGGGAGCCAGAGGCTGCCCGGGATGGGTCTCAAGAACATCCTGGTCCTGTGGCCATGGAGCAAGAAGGCTCAAGGGAATGGGGTACTGAGGCAGAGACAGGTCTGGACTTTTGGCAGCAGGACTTGAAGAAGCTTTGAAGAACTGGATCTCCATGTACAACCAGAAGGGACGGAGGGAGGGAGGGAGGGAAGGAGAAATGGGCCAAACATGGCCAGCAGTCATGAATTTACCAGCTCAGAGACAGAGCGCACCTACCCAGCTTCACAAGAACCAGGTTTGGGTGTTTGTTTGCCAGGTCTCTCAGCTCCTACAAAAAGAGACACGGAAACAATCAGCACAAGGCAGAGACGATGCCGAGCATCATCCTGGGGCACCAGCAATGGCCCACCCTGAGGGAAACATCTTCCAGACGTTTCTCAGCGCTTGTGAACGGCTGGACCAGGGAGCTGCCTTGGTCCCCAGGCTTCTCCTGGGCCTCGTAAAGCAACGTGCACGTGCACAGAGCACGACAGGGCCGCGAGTGCAAGATCCTGCGGTCACTCCCCCAAAGGGTGTATGTGCACAGCCCAGCCAGAGCCACAGCAAAGGATGACAGCAAACCCTGAAGGACCAGCTCACCCAGGAAATTATGCAAACTGTCTGGGGATACGGCCAGAAGTGTCTCCCAGAGGCTGCTGGAAGTGAGGTGGAGGAGGAACAGCTGTGAGTGCCAGTATCAGATTTGACCTTGGGGGAAGTTACATCTGGATCCAAATAGTCCAATCCCAGGCCCACTCTGCTCTGGACACTGCACCCCACCCACTCGAGTGAAATGAACCACTCTGCACATTTTTATTGACTGTTTTCACCAAATGTGGATATTGGGAGGAATGGGTTAAAAGTGGAAGACTGTGGAGGAGGATTGTAAATCATTCAAGTGACCTTACAGCTGGGAATAACCCTTGATAAACCAGGTGAACAGCAGCCAGTGATCTGCAAGCACGGATCTTAACAGTG